CGTCGGGCTCGGAGCCGTCCTCGTCCAGCTCCACCTCCGCCGCGGCCAGCTGGGGAGGCTGCTTCGCGGCCGCCCCGGGCCACAGGGCGCCCCCGGCAGGCGGGAGCAGCAGTGGCCCGGACGGCGGTGGCGCGGGGGTCAGCATCTTGGAGGCCGCCCCCGCCCCGGAGCCATCGCCAGCCTTGTTTTCCGGCCGGCTCATGAGTGGGGACAGTACCACTCGGGGTGCAGGGACGCCCCGTGAGTCCTCGGGCAGCTCGGGGCCAAACAGGCACCACGGGCTGAGCGCCCCACAGGCGGGAGGGCTGGCGCGGCTCCGCCTGGGCCCGGAGGGCTCCAGCAGCGTGTCCAGCACACTGTCCAGCAGCGCGCCGTCCTTCTCGGGGGCGCCGGCGCCGCCGCCTCCTGTGCCCCCTGCAGCCTCGGCGCCGGGGTACGTGCCCTGTACACCTACACCTAACAGCGGCTGCCGCTCCTGAGCTTTGCTGTCGGGGGGCTCCTGGCCCTGGCCGAGCCTGGGAAAGAGCAGCCCGTCCAGGGAGACCCCGGGGGAGGCGACCTGAGAGGCCTGGCTCGCCCGGAAGGCACAGGCGTCCTGGCGACCCCGCAGTGGGGACCCGACCTCGCTAGGAGAGCGTGCGCTGCCCGCCGCGTGGGGTGCCCGGGGATCCTTTGCCTTCGCCTCAGTCATGGTGACCCGCGCTCCCCTTTTCTCCTCCCCTGTCTCCAGGGAGGAGGGAAAAGGGAAGGAGGAGGGGGTGTCGGTAATATAGGGGCCGAAGGAGCAGAGAGTGGCTGTTGGAGTTGGCGGGGCGCGGGGATCTCCACCTCCCGGGCGGGGGCGGTGCCCGTCAGCGCCCGCCTGCGCTCTGCATCCGGCGCTCGGTCAAGGGCCGTGGGGTCTGTCAGGCGGCCGAAGCACAGCGCCGGCCGAACTGTGGGAATCGGCTCCTGTCGGCTTCTCCGGGGGAGCTCTCCGGCTTCTGTCCGCGCACGGGAGACGCAGGGCGCCCCAAGTCTGGCTCTGGAATAGCTGCTGCTGCTGCTGCTGCTGCTGCTAAAGCAGGTTCGCGCGGCTCTGTCTCCCGACTTTCTGGCTTCAAACCCGGGAGTGCCGTGCTGTTCTCGATCCCCAACCTCGGTCAGAGGTAGCTCGTCTTTTTTCACCAAAACCCGGGGGTAGCTTGACCTTTTGGGGCAGTGCAGCCCCAGGCGCGCCTCCGCCGGCTCACCTCCTCCGTAGCTATCGCGGCTCAGTGGTGAAGCGCCAGCCGCCTCTGGCTGCAGATCCCATTCAAATGCTAAGTGAAGCTGGCTTTTGTGGAGAATGCGAACCACGCCGAACCATCGCTGATACTACAAGCCTGAGCCTTAACCGGAGTACTAAGAACCCTCGTCAGGCTCTACAGCTTTCTAGCAACGCCTCCTCCCTCTAGGGAGGCCCGCCCAAAGCCCCTCCCCGCTCCAACAGGACCAGAACCGAAACCCAGGAGCCGGTATTCCACTCCACTAGTTTGAATTTCACTGTGCATATAGCAGGTGCTTCTTAGATGGGAGCTCACAAGCGCGTCACGTTTCGCACTACCAAGTAAGAACTGTGCCAGTCAAGTGGGGAAAAAATGAATAGATTATAAGAAAAGGAAAATTTTTGTAACCATTTCAGGACTTCGGTTTACAGATTTAATATAAAAGACATTTAGCTAAAGTGTTTTAGAATGAATATATCAAGAGTAATCTTACATATTTTAAGACTTTTTCTATGAATTCCGTAACGTTCTGGTCTTGGACCACCTTGCCTTAGCCTTCCAGAGTGGGGGGCTTTACAGGCGTGGACCACCGCTGTGGCGCTGCCCACGGCGACGTGGCAGATCACTGGCAACACTGCTCTGTCTGTGTGGGCACTTTGGATGTTATATGCCACGTGTTGGTCAGCTCTAAGGAACACATTCTGATTCTTGGAAAATACCCACTTAAAGAGCCAGTTTCCTTTAGCTCTGGTTTATGTCCTATACCATTAGATCCCCAATAGAGAGAATAAACAGTATTCTCACCTCTCAATATTCTTCTTATTAAAAGTATTTATCTTATCTCTAAATCCATGACCCTGGGGAGAGAGGGGAGATTATGATACATATTTCAGATACAGAATTATAAGCCAAAATGTTTGGGTTACACCCAAGATCACCGGGTATCCTGACATCATCTTAAATATGTTCAGTCATTCATTAATCATTTACTCATTGATCCAGTAATCAGCTGGACAGCTCTTTTAGGGTGTCAAATGCATGCTAACGTCTTGCAGCTTCTCTCACCGGGGTACACAGGATGGCTGGAACCCCTAGAGGTCAGGAGCCTGGATCCAGCAGCCGCTGCAGGAGGACCCATATTAATGCGTAATTAGCATGTTAGACCACTGGGGTTTTTTGTTTGTTTGTTTGGGTTTTTTTCACGGAACCGGGGATTGAACTCAGGCCCTTGTGCTTGCCAGGCAAGTGCTTATTCTACTGAGCCATCTCCCCCGCCCCCAGACCACTGGGTTTTGGAGTTGATTGTCCCAACAATTGACTAGTTTTAAATATGTTCAAATTAGGTAAGTACAGAGGGGCTAAAGAGCCTTCCAGGAAACAGGTATAGTATGTTAAGGAGGCATCTAATAAGAAAACAGCGTGGAAAGTAAAGGAGAACCTTAGGATGGAGCATGGAGTTAGCGTGCAAAGGAGGCAGTTAAGGTTAGAAAGATGGACTAACTTGTTATTGTTTTCACACTTTCTTCAGACTTTCTTCTTTGTAATCCATCTTAAAAGCCTTTACCATGCCTGACTGAGTTATAATTCAGGTACTATGCAATTCATTCATATTCAGCATGCAATTTAGTGTGTGTTTTTAGCATATTTAGTTGTGCAGTCATCACTATTGCCAATTTCAGAACACTTATAGAACTCTTAAAAAAATCAGACCCATCGGCAGTAATTCCCCATTTCCCTGCAATTCTCCCAGCAGCCATGAATCCGTTTGCTGTCTCTGTGGATTGGGGCATGCTGCACATTAATGTCAATGGAATCGTACCATTTGTGGTCTTTTTTACTTCTTTCACTCAGCATATTTTCAAGATTCATCCATATTGTGCATGTAAAATTACATCATTGCTTTTTTTTTGGCCAACATTTCATTGTGTAGGTATGTTGCATTTGTTTATCAGTTGTTGAACTTTTAATTTTTTCTACTCTTTGGCTACTATGGAAAAGGCTGTTACGAACACTCATGTACACACATTTGTGCAAACACTAATGTTCATTTCTCTCAGGTAAATACCTGGGACTGTGATTACCGGGTCATATGGTAATCCTCAGCTCTTAATTTTTTGAGGACTTGCTAGACTTTTTTCAAAGTAACGGTACATTTTATATTCTCATCAGCAGTACATAAATGTTAGAGTTGCTCTATGTCTTTGGCATTTGTCCTTTTTATTACACACCTCCTAGTGAAGTGGGTCCTCATTCTGATTTTGGTTTGTATGTCCCTGATGGCTATGGCCACAGAATCTGTAAAATTTGGAGACTCTCAGCAGCCCTGGGAGACAGTCTTCTGAAACCTTTGCATATATTCTCAGTCCTGTGAAATAGGCGCTGCTAGCCCCTCTTTGCTGTGGGAGCCCTGAGGCAAAGGATGAATGGGTGCAGCGCTCGGACAGTAGCACAAGAGCCAGGTCTGCGCCCGCCCACGTGACCCCCTGCTCACCTTCTCATGAGTGTGACTCTAGGTAGTGAATGGTTTTGCATTTGGTTCTTGTTTGCGGCCACAAAATTAAGACCTGGCCTAATCTTTAATGTGAATAATTCTATTTGGCCTAATTTTCACTGGTTACAAAACTCCTCTCAAGCCATATTATCTGTGCTGTTTTCATAAGACTAACAAAGTCTTTAAGTGGGAAAAATAGTAACAATGCCTGGCGTGTTCTAATACATCATTTTGCCATGAAACTTGGTGCTGGGAGATTCGCATTGTTGGCACAAACACATACTGGCTGTATGAACCTTGGAAAGAGGCAGAATTCACTGATTGCATTCAAGTGTGGTGGGGTAGCTGCATGTGTTCGTGGCAACTATTTTGAAACGTTAAACTTGGAAGTTTTATTTCCCTTTAGTTCTCAGGAAGAGAGCTTTATTAAGTTGAAATTAACACACAATAAGGGACATACATTTAGACTGCAGAACTTGTTAATAAGATGCATATTTTAAGCTGTACAATTTATTAAATTACATACATGTATGTCTGCCAGACATATGCGTGCATCACCACAAGCGAGATGACAAATGTAACCTTTGCCCCCAAGATTATGCCTATATTTTTTAAATGTCCTTGTGCTACTTTTTGTCTGTTTCCCATCCCCTCCCCACACTACCTCTAATGATACCCCTGAAACCACTAATCTGCTTTTTATTACCATATATTAGGGTTTAAAGATTCATATTTGGTTTAATAAGCATCGTAAGTTTCACACACGATTTTGATTTTTAGATCTAGTGTTTTCAGTACATTTCTAATAGGCTTCATTGTAGAGTACTTTAAATTTATGGGAGAGTTAAACAGGTAATAGGGAAGGAACATGTGACCTTTGTACAGTCTCCCTCTTATTAGCATGTTGTGTTTCTAAAGTACATTTGTTACACTTAATAAGCTGCACTGACACACTGCTGTCAAGTGATAACAGAACTTACTCAGAATTCCTGGGTTTTTACTTGATGTTCCCTTTTCTTCCCAGGATCCCACGCAGGGCACCATGTTTCATGGTTGTTGTGTTTCCTTAAGCTCCTCTTGGCTGCCAGGTTCTCAGGCTTTCCTTGTATTTTTAAGACCTTGACAGTCCTGGGAGGTATCGTAGGATGAGTGGGCTGCGGGCTTTAGCTTTGAGGAGGAAAATCAAAGGAGCAGAATGAAATTATTGTGTCCTGTCCATACATACCATCAGCATAACTCTAGGCCTGCTGATGTAGATCTTGGTCACCAGAAGGAAGCAAGGTCTGTTGGGGTCCCCTACTCCATTTATTTGTCGTTCTTTCCATATTATATGTGCTGCAAGGGGGTCCTTGAGAGTCACTTAAGGTCATGGGAGAGTAGGGAATTATGCTTTTTCTCCTTTGGATAGAATGGACACATAATTCATTTGGAATTTCACATGGAGGATCTCCCTCATCTGTCCTTTGCTACTTTCTTCTGTCTTTCACGTATGTCATTACAGACTCATTTTGTTTATGAAAGTGTTGTTCCAGCTTTTAGCATTAGAATCTCTTTTAGTCTACTCCTGTGCCTCTTGACATGTTTCCATGGAGAGAGAGGTGGGGGAAGAAGGAAGGGAGATACATAGAGAAGTACAGAGAAGGACTGAGAGATATAGGTATATGGACAGACAGACAGACAGACCGACGGACGGACGGACGGACGGACGGACGGACGGACGGACGGACTGACTGACTGACTGACTGACTGACTGACTGACTGACTGACTGACTTTCTTGCTTCCTGGCATTAAAAGATACTCCAGACTCATCTTGAACTTCTCTTCCTCTAGTCCTACAATCAACCATTTTGCCAGTGAAGTTTAATTTTTTTAAATTGGTAGACAAGATTTTTTTTTTAGACAAGTTTTCACTATGATGCCCAGCATGACCTCGACCTTGTGGACGCCTCAGCCCCCCGAAGTAGCTGGAACTACAACCATGTGCATCTGCTACTCTCTGATTTTTAAAATGGCATTGGAAATGAAGGTCTATGCCCTGCATTAGCTTCAGTTTCTTAAACTTTTATGTAGTAATGTATATGCTTTTGCCATCTGTTTTTTTTTCAGTCAGCAAAATTATTTTAGTTTTGGCTACACTGTACTGTGTGTGAATAGTTCACTCTTTATTGCTGAGTAGAAGCTCATTTTATAGCTACAACTTGGTCTGTTTACCTGTCGAAAAGCATTTCTAATACTATAAACCACTATGTAAATGTGCACACAGCTATTTGTTTAGATGTAACTTGCTTTTGGGAGAAGGGTCTCCAGAGTGTCCAGGGTCTCACTACTAAATCAGATTTATAGTGACTCTCCTGTTGACAACCTCCAAGCGCTGGGATTACATGTGTACGCCACCACACCCAGTCTCAATTGCCATCTCAGCGTGCCCCAGGGACAGGGTCGGCGTGGCAGGCCTGGGAAAGGAACCCCCAGCCCCTGAGCCTGCTTGCAGGCAGTTTTAATCCACTGAGCTATTTGGCTGGTCCTTAGATGTGACTTTTAATTTCT